GAATCCATATACTGAGACTTCGGCTACATCCAGTGATCTCTCTTGGTCTAGTGTCGAAGAATGAAGTTGCAGTGACTGCACTGACAGAGTTACTCTGCAAATGGCGATGATACAGGAACAAACGGAGCGGGGTGGGGGGCGCGCGTAGTAAAGGAAAGAAAGCTGGTGCTGGAAAAGATCAGCTTGTTGAGATGAGATTTTACATTCCCGGAGTTGCGACCAAGAAGGGAGCCCGTGAAGATGATGAGGACTCTGGAGATGATGCCGACGAGGAGGCGACTAATGCATCCAACCTTTTCTATGATACTTTGATGGAGAAGGCTGAAATTGGTGATGTTGCTGGAGATACTGTTGCTACTTTCCTCGATGTTCTACATCTCTCTTCAAGGCATGTCGCATTTTCAATGGTTTTGTGCTAGGGTAACTATTCACAGAGGACGTTTCGATATCGACATGTACGAAAACTCTTTCAGATTACGTGGTAAAACATACGATTACAAGATTCAGTACGACCATATCAAGAAGTTCATGGTTTTACCAAAGCCCGATGAATTACATTTCATGATCTGTATTGGTTTAGATCCACCATTACGACAAGGTCAAACTAGATATCCTTTCTTGGTTATGCAATTCAAGAAGGATGAAGAAGTTACCATTGATCTGAATATGATGGAAGAAGTGATGGAGGAGAAATATGGAGGAAAGTTAGTTCAACATTATGAACAGCCATTACATGAAGTCGTCACACAAGTTTTCCGTGGTCTTGCTGGAAAGAAGATTAATCAACCTGCCAAGGATTTCTTGAGGTATGCTACTTTCCTAAAATTTGTTACACCAGTATACTAACGTTATCAGCCACCACTCACAATATGGTATCAAATGTTCTATCAAAGCCAGCGAAGGTTTCCTCTATTGCTTAGAGAAAGCTTTCATGTTCGTTCCAAAACCCGCCACATACATAACCTACGAACAAATTTCAGTTATAACTTTCTCCCGTGTTGGCGGTGCTACTTCCGCTTCCCGTACCTTCGATATCGCTGTCGGACTTAAAAATGGAGCAGGTGAAACACAATTCAGCAATATTAATCGCGAAGAACAAAAGAATCTAGAGGATTTCTTCAAGATTAAAGGTCTCCGAGTCAAGAATGAGATGGATGAAGATAATACCGCTCACATCGCCCTTCTTGATAATCCTGATATGCAATCTTCGGACGAAGAAGTAGTAGCTGCTAGAGCCGATAGAGGAAGTGCTGATGAGGACGATGAGAGCGTGGATGAGGATTTCAAGACTGATACTGAGAGTGACGTAGCCGAAGAATACGATTCAGCTCATGAAAGTTCGGGAACTGATAGTGAGGAGGAAGGGGGTAGTGATGCAGAAAGACCAGCTAAGAAAGCTAAGACTAGTTAAGTCTCGCGCTAATTTGGTACATATAATTTGGTTAAAGGAAGAAAAACTCTTAGTGTCTTATCTTTCTGCACGGCGTTTATACGGTGGTGAAGATATGAGGTTAGGAAAGTTATCTTACTCGGTTGGGGAATAAAATACTTATCATGAAACTTTTGAAGGGAAATTATAAGTAGTAGGAATATTATAGTTTTGAGGAACACAAATCAGATATGGCTCTGACTAGAAGAAAAATAAATATCATCTAATGTTCACTTGTGTTTTTATGTTTTTTATGTGAGGTTTTAGGTGAGGTGCTACTGGAATTTTTGGTAGGTAGGATGTTTGATGTGAAGCTGTTTTGTGAGGTTGGGGACTGGGATTTGGGATTTGTGATTGGGAAAGAGATTTGTTAAGAGAGACGGAGGGAGGGA